TTAATATCGTTTATGGCCTTCAAACGCGTTACAGTATGCTCCTATTCATTTTCTGCTCAGCTACTAAGATTTCCCTTCAGTGGTAAAATTCCATATAAATATTCAATACTAAAACGGGCACAGTAAAGACATTTACTGTAAATCTTTCTACGACAGACCAACGGACCACGAGTGCCCCTGTCAGTCAACCAATCACGTACTGCCGGAACCTCGTATCATCGTTTGTCACAATGCGCGACGTCGTAGCAAATTACAGTATGTGTCTGTACCGCGCACTTTGAATGGCTGCATCTGTACTATCACTACATCTGCGAAACACGAAACATCATCTACTGTAAAGCTTTCAGTGCTGTGTTAATGTATATTCCAATCGCAATGGGGGCAGGGTGTGTGGGGAAACGTTTAGGCTGCAATTGAGTTGGGGCTCTATTCTTCACACCTGAACCATTGTTTTCTCTGAAAGCATGTTTTTTCCCTCTTTAGCTGATCTTTTGCTCCCTACGAATGCTAACACAGCTCCCTACGTGAATTCTCAGTATTGACTGAGAAAGCTTTAGAGGACTTTACAACCATTTTTATAGCATATGGAGGGGCAACTTTCAAGGAGAGCTCCCAACTTTCCTGCCATTGCAAAGGGTTCAACTGTAGCAGCCACAAATAAATAATTTATTTTTTTCTCCTGATGGTAACTGTAACAAATTGTAATGTTACACATCCTTGTGAAACAATCATGACATTCTCATCCAATCAAAGGTTTGATGTTTTTTTTTTTATTTTGAAATCGTGATCTTGATATTCAGGTGTGAAGTAAATTAACAGCTTCAGATTTAAAAGGTTATTGATAATATCTTCCATGTCACATTAACATTGGAATGTTCTCACAAGTGTAAAAAGAGGCGATACACAATGTGTCTCCTCTATAACTCTTCAGTTTACAGAGAAATTCCACCAGAGCCACACAACATTGTCCAATAATACTCTTCTTGTGTCTAATTTCAGATAGTAACCCCGTTACAAAACAGTGCATCAGTCATTGACTATGGTTAAACAGTATATACGATGTCTGGTGCAGTTTCAGCGTTCACTTTTCTTTATTCTGTACAGAACCATGATGTCTCATCATCGTTGGTACCAATAAACAAGGGGGCTTCATTGAACTCAACTGCACTCCAGTAAATAATGTACAGTTTATTTGCAATGTTAGTTTAGCAGGATTTGCGTGATAAGCACATTGTTTAATGGGGATGGCATTCCCCGCGTCTATATCACTGTACAACACAGGTTTGAGTTGGAGCACCTTTCAATACATATAACTACTGCATGATTTCTTTATCCATTTCAGCTAAATGAGGGAAATTAAATCAGTCAGAATCTCAGAGTGACAATTCTAAAAATATCCCTTCTTCCCTCCTTTGTTTAACTTAAAGAATTTCACGAAGAAATCCTTAATCACAATACCATCACTTAATTTATCCAGATACACAAATTCACACCAGAGCCAACAACAAGCTATAAAAGTGGACTATTTTTATGTATTCACTTTATAAAAAATAAACCAAACAAACACTTTTATCGGCCTTTGAACAATGGTTCAATGGGGTGCAGTGCTTTGTTCATTACCACTACAAGAAAAATGGAATTTAAAAAAAAAAAGAAACGGATGTCAAAATGTTTCCCGAAAAATCCACCTGTGATATTTAAGCTGCATAGTTACACAATTCCATATTCATATAACTATCAAGTGTGTGATGTTAAATCATTACAACATTTATCTTTTAACAATAACAGCAAGTGGTGTTCTTACTATGTATTCTTATAAAAGGATTAAACATTATAACTTTTTATGAAAACAGAATATATGCTTAATAATGTTAGAACAAGAAGATTAAAACCAGAACCCATGTAAGTTACCAAGTTAAAGATTTTGATGCATATAATATTAATGCATAATTAAAATATTTATGATAAATGTGGTAGGTTGTGTACTTTTGTCCAACTGAGCAATCTTGCTTTTATAAAATATACCAACTTTTTAATGTTTAATGATTAACATGCTGTAATACACAGTTTAAAATTATTAAACGTCTAAAGAGTATACAACTTAAGTTCTTAATTGGAAAAAAATTGTCCCTCAGCAGTGACCGTTATTTGAAACTGGGCATTTTCTTGTGACAGCTCAAATGCTGTACATGAGACATTAAGCTTTATTAGCTCAACCTGACAGTTTTGCAAGGTGCTTCCAGATACTATTATCATATTTCAATTACACTGCGGTATAATGCGGTATATAGAGCCATGCCCACTGCATTTTAACGCAGCGTAACTTTTGCATTTTGAATGGTGGGATCTCTATAAACATGTAAACTGCTGTTTCAGAAAGAAAATAGGCACTTTTCCATGATTTACAGTCATATATTCATATATGCTTTTAAAAAGAGATACCTCTTTAGTAGTAGTATGTAGTACAGTACAGTAGTACAGTAGTTATGTGGTATTGAAGTCAATCTTACCATATGTTCAATATCAAAAGCAAGTGTTTTGAATTCCACAGCAGATTTATTTTGAAGGTTGTCACTGAAAGAAGCTCCATTTGTAATTGTAAATCTTCCACCCAAAACTACTTCAGTTGTATTAGGTTGGATTTGAGCCACTGTAAACAAAACAAAATGCTTCATTAATGACTTGTTTAAAGCAATTCCCTGGTAGATCACTTAGGGGTGAGCAGAGGGCTATAATCCAGTGAACCTCATAGTGAAATACATAGTGAAATGCAAACTATGGAACAACATTTAAAATGCAAAAGAAGGCGTTACTATACAAAAAACTATAAACAAAACATTTTGAGAGTTTAGCACAAGCTAGCCTGTTTTGTTTTTGAAGGCAATAGCTCTTTTATTCTAATAAGCATATGAATGAGATCCTGAGATTTGTTCAGATAAATGGGTATTATCTGAGCATTTCCTTTAATTTCCTTTTAAAATGTCCTTATATTATTTAATTAAATGTTTTATATTTTTAGAACACATTCTCTTTATAAACCTATCACTAGTAAAAGAAAGTATGTAAAATTATATTCTACGTCATGATGGAGATGCATTACTGGAAGCTGGTAAATGATTCAGAACTAAATCAGTTCCCCATCTATGTTTTTTCCACTGATGTACAATCAGTGAAAAAGTAACAGTTTTTAAATTAAATTTAAAACATTGCATTTACATTATCAGGAACACCAGATTTGTAGGAATGTACCCAGGATTTATTCCATCTAAAATTGTCTGCAACTATCCTTTAGAGTAAAACTGGACCTTTGAATTAATAGAATTTCCCCTGTTTTAAACTTGTGATCATTTACTTTTTGAATCCTAAAAGACAAATAAACAGACAACAGCCAGAAGTGTAAAAAAATTATCCAATATGAAAACAAAACTTCCATAAATCTCAAAAAGTGTATATGGTGAGTAAATTTAAGAAAAAAAGAGCAAAAACAAACAAAAAAAAAAACAATGAGAACAATTAGAACAGAGCAATAGATAAATAAACCAATTTAAGACTTGAAGAAGGGACCAGAAGTATATTTATGGGCCCAAAACTCCAATGATCAAGTGTTTTACTTATTCTTCATATTCCCAACCTTCTCCTTTCTTGTTAGGACTTCTATGTGTGCCGATACCTGTTTTTCCAAATTATTTTCATAAATAGTTTCTTTACAAATAAAATCAGAAACAGCCAAATAACAGGGTATACAAAATATTGTGTTAATTCCCAATGAAGAGTTGTGATGACAATTGGGTACATACTGTATCAAAAGTGGCACAGAGTAATCAGAGAAGATTCAAGAGGTCAGAAGAATTATCTTCTTCTGTAAAGATATTAAAGTCTACCAACAGTTAAAAGTTGATTTTTGTACCACAGTTCCTTCTGGGACTTCCAGAATCAGATATGAAGCAGCCTTGGAAATTTGCTAAATGTTTTGCATTTTATATT